TTCTATTTCAAAATCTAAATCTGAAAGCGGACATTGAAAGAAAGCATAAAATGCATTTTAATTAAATGTACAATATACATTTCAGGAACAAACCAAGTATATTAAAATCTCAAACAGTTGTCTTTCATCGTATACATTTTATTATTTCTCCAAAGCTTGTGATGTTGCTGTCAAGCCGTGTTTGTTTCTGCAGTGATGGAAGCCTAAGATACTAGAAGGAAGAAGATTATCCCATGCTCCACAAATGCTAAATGGTTTCCTCAGTAAATCCTGCTAGTTTCATTTATTATAATTTACTGCTGGGCAGTTTCTAAATGGTCTCTATATATTTTTAAGGGTTCATGTTTGTCTGTTGTTCCTATACCTAATCACATTGGAATATTGTCTCCAGAAGAAGGGGCGATTAGACGATTATTTGTTCACCCAGTTCAGTTTTCCTTCGCTGTCTGAGCAGCTCAGTAAATAAATGGGGTAAAAAATGTGGTCTTGGTTTAAGCATAAGGATCAAGTTATTTAAGGATTGCTTATTTAAATGCACTTACACAGTACAGCGTTCAGAGAATCGTCCTGGCCAGTGGGGAAAACTGCTAAATAATCCAAACCAGAAGCTGAGCTGGTGAGGGTTGAATATGCAAAAATTGAAGAGAGGTGATGCTTATCCATGAAAATAAGCATCTTAACTTTACCACTACAGCACAGTTTCTCTCATTGCAACTTTTGTTCTTTTTACATTTGACCACTTATTAGATTATTCAATTTAATCAAACCATTAAATTAAGATATTCTGCAAAATGCAATAGCTTACAACTTTTATTTTATTTGATAACATCACAAAACTGACACTTATTGGTGATTTACTGGCACTACTGCTTTAACAAAGGCATTTACGATGGTTAAGATGTGAATAATTTCCTAGCATAGCCTTGTAGTAACATATAAGTGCGGTAAGAAAAGTAAATAGTCTGATAGACTGTTTAATATGTATGACCCATGACTTATTTTGACATACAAAGAACCAACTCGTCATAACTACATGTGATGTAAATTGTGAATTAGTTTTTATTACAAACGATCAGTTTTAAATTTCAATTCATAAATAAAACAGATGGAGAGGGGCTCTGGCTCTATCACACACATTTTCAGCTCAGACCAAAGATTTTCTGGGGCAGAAGTCAGGGCTTTGCAACAGTTATTTCAAACTTTCGAGCTAAATATGTAAAATATTACAATATTTAGAGATTCATTTTGTGCCATGGCTATACGTTTCTGGCTGATATTTTCCAAATAATTATTTTTACTCAAAATTCCATCTGTTTTGAGAAATGCATCAGTCCCTCCTGCAGTAGAGTGCCCCACAACATTCTAAACATGCATATTTGCATTTTCTATTTTCATAAAACTCTGAAAGCTTTATTTCTAGTTTTATGAAACTGATCAATTTCTGTTGATCCTCCCGGTGCTATTTTCTTTGTGTTTTTTCTTTCTTTTTTTTTTTTTTAGAATTGAATGATTAACAGCTTCTATAACAGAATATACATTTTATGAATCTATGACAGTACTTCCATCTATTTTCTGAATTCTCATTTTAATTATTATCTTATATCGCTGTCAGCTCTTTAAAAAAAAATGAAACAGCCCTCCAGAATCATCCTCTTGTGTATTTACACCACTTTTAAGGATTATACATATTTTAAGCCATCGGTCCTCCTAAGGTCTTCAAAGGTGGGTCCTTTTTTCTTAAGGTGTAAATGAACAGCTGAAACTTTCCCAGAGCCATTGACTTTCTGTGCTGCACCATACGTTTCTATAGTTGTTGGGTTTCTCCAGTGTAGGAGTCTAAGCAGTTCTGCACTGGATCAGTAAACAGTGCAGCACAAAAACTGCTCTTATTTGTGCCACTCATGTTGAGGACCTGACTAATTTGTTTTGTTACTGAGACCACACCAGAGAACTTTGTTAAGATAACATAAACTTAAATCTTGACATTTTCTCTTCCATGTTTCTCTATTTCTGTCAACAATAAAAATGTGTTGAGAACTTTCCTGCTTCCTTTTAATGGTATCTGTCACAATCAGAATATATTAATACAATGGCCAATATTGTTTTTATTTAACTGGATTAATATTGGTAAACTGTCACACAGGAAATAGGTTTTTGTGAATTATGCAAGAACTTACAGTTGAACACAAGGAGCTTACTGTACATGTACAGTACATCAAGACGCCAAAGACAGAGAATCCTTATCCAAAGGTTTATTGAAACTGCCAGAAGTTGACACTGAAAAAGCACAATCAATAATGTTCACAGTTTACCTTTAGACATAAACCAAAATGCAACATGTAAAACTAGAAGGTAAATTGCTATGTTTTAACCTTCATTTAGCCTTTATTTTTTACATACAATGAGTTAAAGCATCCATAAGAAATATCAATGTATCTGTTTATTATCTGAAGTGGATTAACATGGTTGATAGCTCTATGCATTAGATTGGCATGGCAACACACCAGAGATAAACATGTTTTATTTTTTCCCACAAAATATAACTTCCCCTAAATATTCAGCTAAAATGATACAGAACACAATAAACCTTAAAAAACACACATGCGATGCAACCAAAAGACATAATATGTTTGCATATTTTGCTGGATTAATTTGGTCGCTCTCTGTTACTGTCGCTGTTTCTTAGAGACGATAATCATTTTAATGAGACTTAAACATCCACTTTTAAAATAGTCAACATATTTAGCATGAAAGTTGGTTGTATCACCTATATATCCTATCTATCCTATTCTATATCTAGAACTTGTGTGTTTAGATATATGTAGCTGTGACAATATGTGGCACATATTACAAATTATGTAATTTCTAATCTTTCATTTTGGTAAACATTCTCAAAACCTGTGAGTAATACTTTCCATCTAAAATCAGTGTTAAATTAAATTTTTTGTTTTTTTGTTCCGTGGCACATGTTGTAGCGGGGGGCGGGGGGGCTTTAATTACTTGTATAGTGTGATAGTGGCGTGGCTCTATCTGCACGGCAAAGCTCTGGAAGCTTTTGAGACTGAGAGCACCTAACAGCCTGTGTGTGTTTACTGACTGTGTCCCCCGCTACTCCTATAGGTGTGGTGAAATAAAACTGCAGATCCTGATTCCTGGTCTGAGTGGTGTCCTCCATTTGAAAGCAGCCAGATAAAGCTGCTACATATACACATAATTGAGTTAACTTAATTATGTGTTTATCTACACAAACACAGATTTAGCATCTAGTACATGCGATTCAAATAGATACTTGGCAGACAATGCAGATAAATTCATTCTATTAGTCACATTAATTAAACGTTTTATGTTTAAGGAAACCCAGCAGTTTGCAACGAGTCAGTCGAATCAGTGATTCTAATATAGTTTTATGGATTGGTGTTGTTGTTGCCCAGGAGGCCTGGAAAGAGGTAGAAGCTCTTTATCAGCGTGCATCTATCAATAGTTGGCATCTGAAGTTTGTTGTTGCTCCTGAAGCTTTCAACACGCCGCATGACCTGTAAAATTGGAAAGGTGGGAAATAATCAGCTGATGTTTTTATGAAGAAATCCTCAACATCGTTGTAAAAAAAAAAAAAAACTTTTTTTCATTGTGATCTTAATGCTGGTGATATTCTTGCTGCCTTCTGAAAGACTCTTTAAAATATGCAATTCAATTAGAGGATTTATGTTAATAAATGGGAAAACAAAAAAGTACAAAATAATATTTGTATTTCAATGTTCGTATGTATAGCATGTTTGGAATAAGATTTCTGTATCTTTGTCCCACAATCTAAAATCTTCATCCATTTATTTTTTATTTAATGCATTAAATCTCGTTAAATCTCATATTTAGCATTTAAACCTTTTTAAGGAATATGAGATAAATTCACTGAGAACATTGTGTTCATAATTTAGTTACTGCACTAAGAGATAAACGGAGAGAAAGTCTTGGGTTTTTTTTTTCATACCTTTTGGAAGAGATCAAAAATGTGATCCTGATATGAATCTGGACTGAAAGACTCCACAACGTACTGGATGAGGATAGACCCACGATCAGGTTGTCTGTATGACACGGTGTCTGGAAGAGGAAGAGTAAGAATAAAAAAATAATACAGTTATAACCATCAGAACAGGTTTATTTAAAGTTTAAACATTAAAGTGTTGCTTTGAACCCACCAGGCGTGCAGGACAAAAGACAAATAAAGTCTTTTTCTTGGTGTACAAGTTGAATCTTGTCTGCTTCAAAGTCATCAGGTTGTGGAACATCAGCAGCTGCATTTGGACTGTCACTGACCAGAACGCTTCCTCTTTGTTCTGTAAAATGAAAAGATTGGAAAGCTGGTAAAACTCTTAATTCAACTCACAATAGACTTATATCTATAAGTTCAAAGATCTATATAGGTTGATCAGAATCACCTCCTCTGCAGGCCTGTATGATGATGATCTTTGGCTTGTTTATTAGTGCAGGACATTTCTCAGAGCCCAGGTGTTTGAAAATGTTGTCTATTGGAAATTCATCTGGTTTGTCCTTTTTCCAGTTAACTCCAAGAATTTTCCCTAGCTTCCCATGGGACATGATAACCACAAAAACACTATCGGTCTGTTTTAATTTAGGATGTTTAGCGAACTGAATCAAACCATCATTGATCGCCTGAAGGAAGACAAAAATATCACAAATTCAGATATATTTCTTCGTTATTCAGATAAGAAGCTGTTTATTTAATTATTTTTTTTAATAAAATACCTTTCCAGTTAGGTCTGTATATTTCACCACCTCATATCCCAGACTTGAGAGCAGTTTTTCCATATTCTCCTCATCTTTCTCTGCCCCTCTTCTGTCCATTTTCTGATCAGAAAACTTCATATTAGTGATAAGTAGCGCAACACGGTTCCTAAAGGAGTCCTGAGTCACAGGGTAGACCTGAAAGATAAATAAGAAAAATTATTAACTGGAACCTGGAGAACCAAAGGCGATGTTAAGATGTTTATTAAGAATCTTTGTCATTAAGGAGCATTAATGGCAATTTTGATCAGGCACTCAGCTCAGAATGCATATACATAGAACGCAGACTGAACACAATAACTCATTAAAATATGCAAATACAGGAGTAAAATATTTTAAAAGTAAGGAATGGAACAAATAAATATGATAAAGTGATCCAGGAGGAAAAATGTAACACCTATAGCAGCTAAAAAACATTCCTTATGTACATGCAATATGCGCATGAGATGAGTTTATATAAAGTGCAGCTCAAATGGGACAAACAAATCATATCTTGGGTGGGTGGGATCTGTGGCATTGCATCTGGCCCTTTTCTGTATATAGCATTTATAGTTTCCATTATGCAAAAGGTGTTACAAACTAATAACATCACAGTAAAATGGATAACTGGTAAAATGTGTCCAAACATGTAAACATTTGGTTCTACACTTAATACAAAAAACATTTATACATAATATCCTTACTTTTTCTGTTGTTTCTGCAAGTATATTTTTGCACTTTTTATATATTTAGAAGAACAAATATTTTTAGTTGTGAGTAAATTAATTACTTACCTTTGAATCATCCCTTTTGAGTTTCCAGAACTCTTCTACGGTGGATACTGATGGAGCTGATACGTTCTGAGCCACTGCGCCTGCTGGAGAGAAATAATACAATATTGCTCTTTTACAAGAAGCATTTACAGTGCATTTGTTAAAACACATTCACACTTTCTTTAACATATGCATATAAAGGGTCTTAAACACCTATTGGAACGCCTGGTAAAGAGTTGTAAAAGAAACATCTTTAAACCAAATCATATTTTATTCAGTGACATTATCAAAAAAATAAAATCATATTTAAATGTAACTTATTTAATTATTGGGCAAAAAATTTTACCGGTATACGGTAAAGTAATCATGATTTTCTTTCACAAATTAATAGTGTAAAGCCAATTGAAACCCCTGCTGGATCATGATGCACTCTGACGGGAAGAAATATAGGATCGAAGCATCATTGATCCTCCTCTATATCTAACATATTCCTCCTACGTTTTATGCTGGTATATAAATTTAATGTATGCAACAACAGGGTTGTTGTCCCAGTGTTATTTAGCAAACTACACCTGTTAAGATTTGTGATTGCAGAACAGCAAACTCTTTTTCTTGCTGATCCTTTCCCCCTGATGCTAGTTTTGTTGACATTTCCTTACTTTGCCTTACTTGAATTGCATCTTATTTTCTTTTTCCATACTTTGTGAAAGAAATAAGAGCTATTACTCTTGCTGTCATGTCATTTTATAACAAAAGAGAAAAGAACTACTAGCAAATAAATAAAGAATATGTTTTTTCTTTATTGTTAAAGGCTTTATTTTTATAATGAATTAACTGAAATTAAAGCCCGGATTGCCCCAGGTTTTCCTTTTGACATCATAATATTGCAATTAAACAGAAATCCTGTCTGGACTTTCATGGAAATGTGTAAATTGGTCTCACCTGGCTGAGGAGGCTGGGCACTGGATAGACCCAACTCAGAGTGCAGGGTTGGGTCTATGCTCTGCAGCTGAGCAATCATCTTTCTGCTAGCTTGATTGCCTTTTTTCTTAACTATGTCAATAAGAGAGCGTGCCCTATCTGCTCTGCTAACATTCTCCTCAAGTACTGAATCTTTTTCCCCATCATTCAATACACCATCATCCAAAAGACCATCCAGGAGTTGTTTAATGCCTTCTTTTGACACTTTGTCCACAAAGTCTTTCCTCACCCTCTGGAGTTCCTTATCTGGAATTAGAAAGATACAGAAAGAATTGATGCAAACTGACACAATCAGATCAGGGAAGTCCATCAAAAATACAAATATTGTACTTTCTACTCCATTCCATTTCGAGGAAGATGCTAGTTACTTGTCACTTTTGGCTCAGCTTTCTTTGTAATCCGCTGTTGCTGTTTCTCTTTCTTGAAATGCCTTTTTATTAAGGTATGCAAGGTAGCCGACCTTTTGCCGGATCTGGACACCGCTGTTTTAGAGATTTGCATGATATTCCGCAGATGTAAAAAACTCTAGGCAGATATTATTTGTAGTTTATACATTTTAGATAAATGCAATAGTTTCAACCTCAAACCACTATTAGTGAAAGTGTCAGAAAAATTTCTTAGATAAGAAATAATAATCAAAATAGTTGTTCTTATTTATACTTTTTCTGGCATTTTTTTGAGGAAGTTCTTTACAAGTGGCGTAGATTTTGTAGCAGAGTGTTTCTATGCATGAATACATCGGGCGGTTTCTGAAAGTTACAAGGTTCTATAAAATTGCTCTGAAAATTATACAGAGATTTACTGATATGAGAAAATTTAATTTGTATTTTCAATATGTACTGTATTTAAAAGGTATAGTGGAGGATGTTCTTTTTCCGGGAGGATCGTCAAAATAAGTGGTCCTCCTAACTGTCAATCATTCTGGTAATCTGCTTATGTAAGGCCGTCCTACATGCTTGACCCCATTTTCATCTAACCCTATCCCGAGAATTACCTCCCCTCTCGCACACTGATGAGAAATGGTTTGAAATATGAAAAAAAGGGAACTTTTAAATATATTGCAAATGTTTTCATATTTCTTATGCATGGATGCTCTACAATTGAGAGTTTTGGTGGACAGGAATTTTTTGGCATAAAACAGTGGTGAGTCTGACATAGTGGAAAATTGCAAATCCTAATCCATAAAGGAACATTTATGTTTCTTGACTTAAGGGGAATTTTACGGTCCGTAGCTCCTGTACAGCAGAGGTTTTCAACGTTTTTCAGGCCAAGGGCCCCCAAACTGGATTGAGTGGGGACCCCCTAATTATATATATTGTATGAAATTGTGTTATATCAAACTGATCCTATAGTCACGAATAACTGTCACATGACTCCATCCAATACTTTAATAATCCGGGGATTATTAATGTATTTCTGATTCCTTGTTGATGAGACAGGTGTTGGACAGGTGTTGGGAATTAAACTGTGACCACCAATGTGTGCATTGGTGACTGTAAGACATATTCTGTCTCCATTTATCTGTTAACTACAGTGTGTTGAATTCATGTCAATGTGTATTTAAAGACATTTCAATTAGTGGATATAATTACAGGGGGAATTTAAAAAACAAAGTCTAATCAACCAAAATTTTTGCGACCCCCATGCAGTACCTCCGTGCCCCCCTTAGGTGTCACAGACCCCCTGTTGAAGACCTCTAATTTATAGTTTTTATCACTGATTTTACATGCTGTTTCTACAATGTGAACCCTGTAAACGAAAATAATAAAAAAGTTATATAATATAATAGCTATGGGCGTAGGTTTGTATAGGGACTATAGGAACATGTCCCTTCCAACAATTAGATGTGAACAACATGTTTATAATTTACAATACAGCTTTGTTGCAGCAGTAGAGGAGTTCTGGATGGAGAATGTTGACAGACAAAAAAATTTTTGATCTATGAAAAATGTTTATATATTTTGTTTAATGCCTATATTTATAATTCCTGCTGTAAGTGGGTCACTCTGTGAGCTAAAGACATGTTTTAGAGTCTCTATACTCCAGTTAACAATTAATCAATTACTAATTTGTTGACATTTCAATAATCAATTATTCCAATGAATTGATTCAGCCCAAGATAAAATACATGATATGGGTTAAATAGAGTAACTACAGCCTTAATGACTTGTAGAGTGAAATTAATATTCTAAATGCTCAGTGTCAGTTCCAGTGCTCATGTAAATAAAATATTTATTTTGCGTCCCTTTAATCTATTATTTTGCTTTGTTTCGTGATACAGTGGGTTTTACCTCTGCACAATTGTATATCTCAAAAGAAAAAAAAACCAGGATAAATCCACATATAACAGATATATTTAGATATATTGTGTTAAATAAGCACAGATTTACTTTCTGTATTAGTCGCTGGTAATTTCAAATGCAAACCTTTTCAAAGTGGAAAAAAGTCATAAGTCCTCATTCATCAGAGCCGGTGATGCTTCCAACATTGATAAACAGCATCTAGTGTGTAGCGCTTATAAAAGTTGTACAGTCATGGCCAAAAGTATTGAGAATGATACAAATATTATATTTTCACATGATCTGCTGCCCTCTGGTTTTCGTGTGTGTATGTCAGATGTTGTCATCACATACAGAAATACTATTGCAATTTATACTATAAGTAACAAAAGCTTTTAATGACAGTAAGAATGAGTGTTGACCCCTCTGCTTCAGGACCTCTGCAATTCTCCCTGGCATGCTCTCAATCAACTTCTGGACCACATCCTGACTGATAGCAGTCAATTTTTGCACAATCGATGCTTGCATTTTGTCAGAATTCATAGGTTTTCATTTGTCCAGAAGTTTTCAATGGGATTAAGATCAGGGGAGTTTCCAGGCCATGGACCCAAAATCTCTATGTTTTGTACCCTGAGCCAGTTAGTTATCACCTTTGCTTTATGGCAAGGTGCCCCATCATGCTGGAAAAGGCATCGTTCATCACCAAACGGCTCTTGGATGGTTGGGAGAAGTTGCTCTGGGAGGACATTCTGGTACCATTCTTTATTCATGGCTGTGTTTTTAGGTAAGACTGTGAGAGAGCCGACTCCCTTGGCTGAGAAGCAACTCCACACATGAATGGTTTCAGGATGCTTTACAGTTGGCATGAGACAAGACTGGTGGTAGCGCTCACCTCGTGTTCTTCGAACAAGCTGTTTTCCAGATGTCCCAAACAATCGGAAAGGGGATTGATCAGAGAAAATGACTTTACCCCAGTCCTCAGTAGTCCACTCCCTGTACCTTTTGCAGAATATCAGTCTGTCCCTGATGTTTTTCCTGGAGAAAAGTGGCTTCTTTGCTGCCCTCCTTGAGTCCAGGCCTTGCTCCAAGAGTTTCTGCCTCACAGTGCATGCAGATGCACTCACACCTGCCTGCTGCCATTCCTGAGCAAGCTCTGCACTGCTGGTAGCCTGATCCCACAGCTGAAACACTTTTAAGTGATGGTCCTGATGCTTGCTGGTCTTTCTTGGGTGTCCTGGAGCCTTTTTGGCAACAATGGAACCTCTCTCCTTGAAGTTCTTGATGATGCGATAGATTGTTGACTGAGGTGCAATATTTTCCAGCTGTGATTCTCTTTCCTGTTAGTTCATGTTTGTGCAGTGCAATGATGACTGCACGTGTTTCTTTAGAGATAACCATGGTTCACAGAAGAGAAACAATGATGCCAAGCACCTTTTTTTAAAGTGTCCAGTGGTGTCATTCTTACTTAATCATGACAGATTGATCTCCAGCCCTGTCCTCATCCCCACCCACACCTGTGTTATTGGAGCAATCACTGAAACAATGTTAGCTGGTCCTTTCAAGGCAGTGCTGCAATGACGTTGAGATGTGTTTTGGGGGATAAAGTTCATTTTCTAGGCAAATATTGACTTTGCAATTAATTGCTGTTACGCTGATCACTCTTTATAACATTCTGGAGTATATGCAAATTATACTCCAGTTTTACGTTATAAAAACTGAAGCAGTAGACTTTGTAAATATTAACATTTGAATCAACTTTTGGCAATGACAGTACAAATGTATCAAGAAACTGCTTTAAACAAAGTACACCCTGATTTTCACGTCAAGCATAAAAAAACGAGCATGCATCTTTTTGCATAGGACCAACATCAGAACATTAGTGTCCCTTACCAAAGTTGAAAGCAAACCTACGCCTTTGCCAATAGCTTATAAACGCGCCAAACCCATAAAGGATTCAACTGTTCTGTTTAATTAGACAGGAAAGGCTGTGGGCGCTTATGTCAACCACATGGAGAAATGTTACAAATATATATTTAAAAAAATAGCTTTTTACATTTTGTAAACGCCCATTAATATTAAAAAGTTGTACCCAGGATCGTCGCCCTCAAACCGAAACTATAAAACGTGGCATTATGATTAAAGGAAGGAGTTACGCATTTGCTATTCCGAGTTTTTTAGTCCGCATATTGTGCAGCCAATAAAGTTTAAAACTTAAAAAAAGTATTTTCTCTCACCTGCCATCCTTCAGAGTGTGTATCAGTGACAGATTTTATTTGGAAACTTCCTGATTCTTTTGGAACTGGCTGCGCGTAATGCCCGGTGCGCCTGACTTCCTACTGTACAGCTGTAACTAATTACTGCAGTGATGAAAAATATGAGACAGTCTCTTTTGTACACATACGTTACATACAATATGTTATGTTAAGTTTGAAATATAAGCAATAGTCCTATATAGCAATGTACATCCGTACAGCAGCCTTGAACTATGCTCTAATGAGCAGTAAACTTCTAGAGGTTAATGTCTGTACAGTGCTGGGTGGAGTTAACTAAGACGACCATTTCGAAACCATCATTGTTTTGCAGAAATGGAAGGTAAGACGAATTTCCTGGTTGGAGACTTTTCCCTGATTTCTAACATAGCATGATCCCCAAATCAGGAGGTGGGATAGTTATTACACAAGGATGAGTCTATACTTGTGTAATAATTGGAGTAATAACCATGAACAGAAAGCGTAAAACCGCGTGAAAGTCAAGTTCAAAGCAGGATGTCTGCAGCTGCAGAGCGGAAAGAGTCAGAAAATATCAATTCTCTGCGTTAACCAGCTTTGTTCGTGTGTTTAAAAAGTCTTCTCCCTTCTCAGTAGTATCACTTTATTTAATTTTAAAAGTACTTCCTCGCCTTCTTTTCTTGTTTTCGGTTTGGCTCACTATGGAACTGGTTTAGATCAAAACGTTTGATCTGATGTTTGATAAGCCATTCATGCAAAAAACACATTTTGGTTTCAATAAAACTTTCATACACATTGAAACTATTAAAAAAATAGCATGTGCAATGCAAGAAATGTCAACATTAAATTTGATTTGAGTGATTTATTAAGAATTTACTCTGTGCAGGGGCGAAGCTAGATGGGGGCCTGTGGCCACCCCTACCATGTTTTCCCTCTAATACAGACAGTGGCAGCAGTAATACCTTGAGGGGGAATGTTTAAACTTATTTAACATGTCAATTTTTCATATATTAACAACTACTTGACGACAGAAACACTAAAGATAATTATGCACAATAAATATACTAACATTAAAGATGATAGATACAGAATTCATGCTATTTTCAGAACTAAATTTTGAATTACTTGGGGTGAAGATGATATGATGTGCCTCTGCAAGTCATCTAGGAGTCTTCAGTGAAATCATATATAAATAATTACTTTAATAATAACTTAAAAGCTGATTAAATGTGGATATTAGTAGATTTAAATATCATATTTCTTGCAGAATGATTATTGATTAAAGTAGGTAATGACAATGTAAAATATGTTTGACCTAGAACTCAAACCTGAAAGTATTTTGTCCACGATACCTTTTATTTACAGCATAAATGTTTAAATATATCGATTTGTTAGCAAAGGCTGCAGGAAAGTATAGTTTGTTTTTATTTAGAAAATATGGATGTGCTTGTTCCTGTTGAAACAGTGTAGATTGACCCTGAGGTTCTGGTGCCTTTCTGTTTTGAAGTAGTTGTTGAACGGCTGATGTTCCCTGTAAATCAGTCTTAAATTTAAGGTAACGTTTTTTTAAACCCTGATTATTTGACTAATAGCATGTTACTTGGAGTTAAACATATCAAATGTGTTCGCTATTTAAAAAATTTTTTTTATGCTTTTCCAACTGTAATCCAAACGCCTTTCGGCCACCCCTCAATATACATTGGTTATTGACTGGCCACCCCTATTAGGATTTTCTGGCTACGCCTCTGCCTCTGTGGTTAAGATCAGTAGATTAGGAGGCTTCACTGATCAGAGCTGTTAAAATATGTTTTTGTTTTTTTTATTTCCAGCTGATACAGTTAAAAACATCAGGTCCAGCTTTGTGGACAAGGCCTCCAAAGAACTAATAAAGCAGCTTCTGGATGATCTCCTGGAGGACGACATCATTAATGATGGGGAGAAGGACTCCATACTGGAGGAGAACATAACCCGAGCAGACATGGCCCGAGCTCTCATTGATGCAGTGTGGAGGAAAGGAAATGAAGCCAGCAGGCTGATGATAACTGACTTTCGCCAGAGAGATCCTACTCTCTCTGCTGAGTTGAATCTGTAACACCTCGGAGCAGGTACATCCCCGACAGAAACACATCTCTTCTCCATGAATCTTGGTGAAAGAACCACATGCAGATGGACAAAAGCATTCTAATCCATAAAGTGACATTGAACATTTCTTATGATGTTTTGCAGCTGCTACGACTCTGGAGGAAAAGTGTCTATTCATCCCAGCTGCTGATGCCCTGCAGATTGAAGAGAGCAATATTTGTTTACAAGGAAATGTCATGTTGTTTCAAACCAATATGATCGTGTTGCAATATCTTTCATTTTCCTAATGATTTTAAAATAGACAGACCACATTTTTAAATCAAGTTGTTCAGCTGACTGACACAATGAAAAAAATAAACTGATAAATGTTTAGATAAAATCTAAATGCACTTCTGAAAATGATTAAATGGTTTTCTTGAAATTAACAAATATGTGTGGTTATAGTTGTGATAAAGGTACATTCACTTACAGTATATTTCAATCAGAGGTCTGTGGCTACTATTTCTAATATAAATCAGAAAAATGGGTTTCCTTTATGCTTTATCGTTTAATTCTTTAAAAAAAAACGTGAGTTTAATTCACTTTTTCACTTTTGTGTTCATTTTCATTTCCAGCAAAATGTCTTTTTGAACATAAAACGTTAAACTTTCAAACATCTAAAATGCAAATGCCCAGCTAAAAGACCTTTTTAAATATATATTTAGATCATGCGTTCATTCTGATGTGAGTTTCTGCTGTTAGCAGAAAAAAGTAAAAAGAGGAAGCTTCAAAGCAAGAAAGTGGGAACAGCAAAACCTTGCCAGGAATGGTAAATTAATCAACCCTTTTATATGTTAAGGATATCTTTGTAAATGGGCAGAAATATAGTTTGACCTAATGCAATCTTGGATGTTAAATAATTAACATCGGTAAAATAAAACAAGAAAATATTATGTTAAAGACAAAAATATAATTCTGGAAGTAACTATTCTTATAGCGTACAGAAATTCCTCGAATAAAATAAGGAGAATTAAGATTAAACACTTTTGATCCCAACCCTTTTGTATTTATTCTATCTGATTAGATTTAAGACGGACACTCATATAGTAAAAAATTATTGATCATGTTTTAATCAATCTAACTGAGCTTAAGAAACATTACAACTGGGATTTAAAAAAAAGAAAATGTTAAAATAATTCAGCTTGAGAAACTGTCATGTAATTGTTGCCAGCTAAAATACATGATTTTCTAATTCGTTTAAGTTCCTGTGCTATTCTGAATTCAGTTTAATCTGAATAAGGATTTTTTTTTTTTTTTTAAACTCATTATCTTTATTCAGTGAGGGGGGGGGGGTGTTTCCTTTACTGTGGTTGAGTTTATTTTTTGAACACTGTTTTTGGTTTCAAGTTTGGTTTTGCACACACCTGAATTCCTCCTTGTGGGACAAAAAAAGACTTCTTTTATTATTTTATTAATTTCATTTTTCTCATTCTGTCAGCTCTAGTTCGAGCCAAAATAATTGACAAAGACTCATGGTTATGTGTAAAATGTCTTCATGGACTGCATTTAACCCTGTTTTGTGGCCGTCATGACCCAGATGACAGAAAATTGACAATGGGATGTTTTAATAATTGTTTTTATTATTATATAATTATAGTGGTGATTGTTTGCCAGGCCAAACATCCCATTAAAGTTGCAATTAAGCCACTACTAAGGCACTGGGGTCAAGTTTCTATATGCAGGCAAAAAGAAGTTCCAATGTCCAGTCTTGATGATGGTTCTGGGTGGGTTATTTTCTATTGTTATTAACAATCAAAGAGTACAAACTTTTCTTTTGTCCTACCTCTCTTGCACTGGTAAAAACCATAGGACCCAAACCCAAAATGCCTGCTGGTCCTTTCCTACGCATCTACACTTATAAAAAGTGGACTGATCCACATCACTTCCTGTCATACCTCAGAACAAAAATAATTTAAATAAATAAGTGAAATAATCAAAAAATATAAATTTAGGAATCAACACAATTCAAATGGATAAAGAAAGAATAAATATCTCCAACATTAATATTTCCTTTAGTGGGTGATATCTATTTATATCCAATAAAATCAGGATTAAAATATGACTATAAGGTGCCAAAGGACTTAAGTTACTTTGCAACAATATTTGCAGTATGTGTGTTAGGGTGGGAATCATCTGGATCTCATAATATTAAGGATAACTAGATTCTTTGGGGTTAAAATGTCCAGTCCTTCCTTTATAAGTCCTAGGGATAAATGACCGTAGGTTATATTTCAGTAGTTTTTACATTAATTTTAACTCAATTTAGAGGTATTTCCACTTTGTTAAGTTTAAAAAAATAGCCTATTCTTATGTTTTATTGTCTTTCGTGTCGTAATTATTATGAATATTTGAATTATCATTATTATTAGTTGTAGTATAAGTTAAAAATAAAACTAAATGGTCTAATGATAATGACCACAACGATACGTCTGAAGAAATAATAAGCTACCGCTAGGGGGAGACAACGGGTTCCATCTAGTTGTGTTTTCCGTAAAAGAAGAAGAATCTGTCAAAGAAGAAGATGGCTGTACTAGAGCGAAGCTATTTGTTTAGCTAATGAAAATATTCCCACCAAGAACAGACAAGAGACAGCGGAGATAACCATACCAGATACCACTTGAAACGAATATCAGTGTATGTCAACACATGTTTCATACAACCGATATTTAAAAAAAAAAAAGATTTATTGCCGTGACATTAGTTTGTGTCAAATAGAAATGGCTAATAACGGACTTAAGTAATTAGCTTGTACATTTCGCGTTTTTTTTAGAAATAGAAATACTCCAGCATAAACGCCGATCTCTAAGATTATTATGAGATGTTAGAGATTAATGTCACCAACTGATGAAGAATACTTCGGTAGTTTAAAGTGTCTTCAGATTTACGAGCTAATGCTAACTTGGCTAATAGCTACTCTGCACATTCCTTTGAACCAGATGTGTCACTGAAAACAAGTCCTCCTAAAATGCATTTGAGTCTCAGTTATTGATGTTGAACGGCTTATGTTCCCTGTAAATCAGTCTTAAATTTAAGGTAACATTGTTTTAAACACTATTTGACTAATAGCAGGTTACTTGGAGTTAAACATTGCAAATGTGTTTGCTATTTTACATTTTCTTTGTTAATGCTTTTCCAGCTGTAAACCAAAA